CCCCAGCCTTCAGCCCACAGTGCCTGCCCTTCGCCCCTTTCTCTAAATCCATATTCAAGAAATCAGCTCTCTGCTAGAGTTTCCTGTCTGCTCTTCATTGTTTTCGTTTTTTTTCCTCCAGAGGCACAGACAGAGGAGTATGTACTTAGGAAAGTAGATACATGTTCAAGGGGGTCTGAAGAAACGCAGCCTTTGGGTAAAGCAAGGCATTGGAGGGAGAACACGGCCGTCTCAGGAGGGAGAGACAGGTGGCTCCTACTCTTTCTGACCTTGCCTCCTCATTACCTGACAGGGGTGGCGATGGCATTGGAAGGCAGTGCTCTGCCCCAAAAAGTCCCAGAGGAAGATAGTTGGGTGGTAGGTAGCCCGTGGCCATGCTGGGATATGGAAGAGAATGTGATCTAATGTAGGGGAGAGGTGGCCCCAGGTCAGCAGCATGAGTGTCGAGCAAGAAGGGAGCCCTGGCCACAGGTGGTTTACCTCGATACCTCTGCATGGACACCTGACCCAGGCAGTCGCATGGTTGTGGGGACACCCTCTTGTGCTTTGTGTGCGTGTGTGACCTTGAGTTCTCTTTAGGGGTTGTGTGTACTATGTGTTGGTCACTTCTGTGCCTGATGGAGCCCTCGTTCTACAGTGGGGTTGGGAGGGGTTTAAAAGAACCGGTGGCTTTGGGATTAGTCATTCATGTGAGCATCTAAATTCTGATTATCGTGCACTTAGACGTATTCCATTGAATAAACATTTATTGTGTTCTGCTATGGTTTGAATGTGAATCTCCAGAGTTTCTGTGTTGGAAATAGTTCCCAGGGGACATAGCTCAGTTGGTAGAGTGTTTGCCTCATATGCACAAGGCCTTGGGTTCAATCCGCAGTACCACACACACACACACACACACTCACACACACACACACAGGATGGGGGTTATAGCTCAGTGGTTAAGCAACTCTGGGTTCAATCTCTGTCACTAAAAACAAAACAAACAGTTCCCATATTCGTTTGTTAATGATATTCAGAAGTGGTGCTTTGGGGAGGTAATGGGGATTATATGAGGGTGGGGCCCTCCATGATGGCATCAGTGACTTTATTAGAGGGGGGAGAGAGACTTGAGGTAGCGTGCTTTCTTTATCTTTCCTTGTGACGCCCTCTGCCATATTAGGAGGTACTAGGAGGACCCTTGGAAAGTGCTGATGGGTGTTGGTGCTATTGGGATTCCCAGTCTCCAGAACCGTGAGCTAAATAAGCCTCAATGACCCAGTCTGTGGTAGGCAGCCAGTTACAGCAACAGAAAGCAGACTCTGATGTGCTCCTACTGTGTGCCAAGGGCAGGGGCTATACAGATAACAGGGAACAAAGGCTCTGCAGCCATGCTATAGCTGCAAGAACATAAGTGAACAGTTAGCATCTTGATGGGGTGTGGGGGAGGTGCGGTGGGATGAAAGATGGGGAACAACACATTTTGCCTGGGGGGGGGGGTCTGTGTGGGCAGCCAGAGAGGAAGGCCATTGGAATTGAGCCACCCAGGACAGTTAGAAGATGGCTAGCTGGATGGTGAGGGGGAGGGCAGGAAGGACACTTTCTGCAGGCGAAATACCCACCCCAAAGCAAGGACACGTGGGAATCCACAGACTTTTGCAGGCACAAATAGTAGTTTGTGTGACCGAGAGATTCTCAAGTGTAGGCTCAGTAAGGAGAGAGGAGAGGGAGAGGGAGGAGGCTGGGGAAGGGTCCATCCCATTCCAGGGCCAGTCTGTTGTAGGTTGGGCTGTCCAGATGCTTAGACGGAGTCGGGGAGCAAGGTACTCATTAGCAGTCCAGGCCAGAGGAGAGGGAGGAGGTAGGGCTGGCAGAGGGAGAAGTCGAGCCCCACCCAGCCTGCCCCACCAGGACCTCAGCCAGTGTGGAGGGGAACCTTGTCCACCCCCTATGTCGCTGGGAGACTGTGCCATCTAATACGATGCTGGGCGTCAGCTGCAGAACTTCCCAGGTGTGGTCAGGAGATCCACCTTGTGAAGGCCATAAACCAGCTTGTCATGGTTGGGCACAGCAATTAGTGACTAGAGGGTGACTTGTGCGGTGAGCACCTGCATACCTTGGCTTGGTGCTGGACACCTCCCTGGGCCCTCTCTGATGACTCAGTCACCAGGCTGTCACCCCTGACATTTCATTGACCCATCAAAGGGCTTTGAGCATCACCTGAAGGAAACTGCAAGGCATGGTACAGCTCTGGGTAGGCGCACCGTGAAGAAAATTCTTCAACGAGGGTGGACGCAAGTTGGGTAATTCTGAAGAATGTCAGGGAGAACAGGACAGAGTCGTCACTCGGTGATGTTACTGGTCCCCCCTGCCCAAGACTCAGCTTTATGTTTAACCTCATGCTGCTTGGGTTTGGGTCCTTCCTTGCTGTGTGACTTTGGTCAAGTTATTCCACTTCTCTGTGCTCCAGTTTCCTCATGTTTAAAATGGGAACAGTGGTGATAGTGGAGTGGTGGAAATTGTTAGGGAGATTAAAGTGGCTTTAAAATGTCATACTGGATGATTAGAAGGCCACCAGGTGGATGATACAGAGAGGGGAAGAATATTTTATGTAGGAAAAATACTGATGAGCCACAGCAAGGAAATGCATATATATATATATCCCACCCCCCGACGGTACAGACAGTAGTTTTGTGTGGTTGAGGGATTGTAAAGTGTAGAATCCCCGATGTCACATGTGGAGGATGGAATTAGAATGAAGTTTAACACAATAAGCATTCTATAAAAGTTCTCTCTTACAATGAAGATTTTAAAACCACTTAAAATACAGAACCACACACATTTAAAACCGCAGAGTCCTTTGAAGAAGAAAAGAGGGCGGGATGGGAGGGGAAAGATGGGAATGGATGTGACATTCATTCCTACACATATTTGACATTTGTGTCATATCGTCCGTGTGCTGGGTACTGGTAACATGTAGTTCCTGCTCCCCGGGATGCACAGCCTGGTGGGGGACACATAAACTAACGTGAAATATCCCAGTGTGATGGCATCTGTGTTATACCACAGTCCCCTTTGTCCATGAGCAATGTATTCCAAGACCCTTGATGGGTACTCGAAACCATGGATCATACCAAACCCTATGTATACTCTGCTTTTTTTTCTGTATGTGCATACCTATGTTAAAATTCAACTTATAAGTTAGCCACAGTAAGAGACTAACAATAATAATAAAATAGTTACAATATAAAAGATACTGTAATGAAATCTCCAGGATCACTACCCTTGTGCATTGGGGCCGTTATACAAGGACAGTCAGGGTTACATGAACATAATGAACACGAGGACCCCGCAGGGTGGTCAGATAGTCAGGATGGTTACCAAGTGACTGACAGGCAGGTAGAGTACCCAGCATGGACAGGCTAAAGACGAAAAGATGACGGAGTCCAGGCAGAACAGAGCAGGACGGCAGATTTCATCGTGCTGCTAGAATGGTGCGCCATTTCAAGCTTATGCACTGTTTACTTCTAGAATTTTCCATGTAATATTTTTGGGCTGTGGTTGACTGCATGTACTGAAGTCACAGAAAGTGAAGCTGCGGATAAGGGGGGACTGTGTTTCAGAGGCATTTGGAGACAGCCATGGGGAGAAACTGCCTTCCGGGGAAGGGTTGGAGGGTCTGGGGTCACAGGGTGAGCAGGAGGTCGGCAGGGGGGGCCCAGTGGGGAGGGGGACATTGATGGTAAAAGATGGAGCAGAAGAGGTGAGAAGATGAGGAAGAGCTCAGGCGGCTCAGTGGCTGGGGAAGGAGCCAGCAGCCAAGCAGCCAGGGCAGGAAGTGACTAAATGAGGGCCACCTACTCCAGCCCACCCCAGGCTGCTGGGAGTCCTGAACCCCCAAGCTGGGAGCTGGAACTTCACTCTGGCAGCAAATGGCAGGGGCAAGATGTGATCTGATTCTGTGACTCAGAAAAATCTCTTGAGATTCTCTGGCTTCACAGCAATTGGAACAGATCCTGGAATGGGGAAGAAATCGGGGCTCAGGGAGCCCATTTTAGGAGGCTCCTTGACTGAGGGGCAACAGAGTCCTCCTCACTTCCGGACAAGATCCTGGTACTCAAAGTGAGCTCTGAGGACCAGCCGGAGCAGAGGCCCCAGCCTCTTAGACAGGCAGGATCTCAGTCCTCTCCAGACCTACCTAAATCAGCACCTGCGTTTGAGTGAGCTCCCGAGGGGTGGATCACTTGCACAGGGAGCTCGGAGCCCGGAAAGCTGCATCTTTAGGTTCAGAATTGAGATGAGTGAGTACGAATCCCACAGGACTTCTGAGATGAGATCGCTCAGGCCAGATGCTGGCTGAAGGGCCGTTGTCCTTGGAAGGCTGGGACAGCTCATCCTGGTGTTTCTGCCAGGGTCTTTGTATTTACCAGACACGTTTCAAGATATTTCTGCCCACGAAGTGCTTGGAATCATCATTATCAGATTTTCTTGTTCAGCCGAAGGTCTTGCTGGGAGTGAGAAGCTGTTCCCATAGTCCTCTGTTCCATCAGGATTTCTCCTGCATCCTACAAACAGCCTCAGTTATGACCCTGAGTTTTTGAATCTTTTTCCCCCTATGCTACTTTTCCAGAAGTTTCTAAACTTGTCTCTGATTTTCATTTCTTGGGGGGAGTGAGGAGGAAGTGAGATCTTTTCAAAAACTTAGTCTGCTAGCACCTCTTTGTTCATACACACCACAAGAAGGAAGTCTTTTTTCTTTTCTATAAGATGTTAACCTCAGAGAAACAAGACTGTAGAGGAGGAAAGGCCACACTCTGATGTCTGGGAGCTGTGTATTCCCTGCCTGATACCCAAAGGCGAGGCATAGGCCCCAAATAAGCGAGACTCCAGGCCACGGCTACAGTTTGAGCCTGTCCTGCAAAAGTTCATGTGCTGAAAATTTGATCCCCAAATTCATAGGTTAATGAGGTACAGAGGTGGAGCCTCTGGATAATTATTAACATTAGATGAGTTCAGGGGGAAGAGGCCCCGATGAGGGCCTCAGGGGCCAGAAGAAGAGAGCCCCGAGTTAGCAGCTGGCTCCGTCTGGCCAGGAGAGGCCCTCCACCAAGCCAGGCTGCAGCCAGAAGGCCCTCCCAGGTGCCACCCGGATGCCAGTCATACGCTCCTGGACTTTGCAGCCTTCAGAATCATCAGCCGCCTACTTTTCTAATCTTGACCCTGGTCTCAGGTAATTTTTAAATAGTAACAGAGAAAAGATGAAGCATGGAAGACACTTTATAAAAACCGAAATATAGCTCCTGCACTTTTCTCAAGCTAGGGTAGAACTGGTATGATAGTTCAATGTGGAGGAAAAAGCCAGAGAAATTACAGAAGAATTGTTTTTTTTTCTTTTCAACTTTATATGATAATTCAAACACACACACACACACACACACACACATGCACTCACGCACACACACACACACACACCAGCAAACCTGAACCCCGGAACCAGGGAGCTTGTCACAGAAGACCCTAGCCTGACCTACTTTCTCACAGAGCAACTGTTCTGCCCAGCAGCCAATCATCACTCCATCGTCACTCAGGGAGGATTTCACAGGAGGTGAAGGCTAGTGGGGAAGAGCAGAGCTTTCCTATCCTAACATACCAAGGGTAAATCTGGGAGAAGGCAACACAACACTGTTGGAACCCATGCCCACAAAGAGGTCCTACCAAATACAAAGCTATTACGACACTAAAAAGGCTTGTAACATCAGGTAGCCTAATGGTTAGAGCAGGGTCTCAGCTTGGGCGCTATTGACAATTGAGGCTAATTCTTTGTCGTGGGGACTGTCCTGTCCGTTGTAGATGCCAGGAGCAGTCAAATATATCTCTAGACGTTGTTTAGTGACCCCCGGAGTTGGGGGTAAGGTAAAGACACTCCTGGCCAAGAATAGTTGAGTTAGACTAAAAACGGGCTGGTGGGATCCACATCCAGGTCTGTCACCTCCCAGCTCGACGATCTCGGTTACTCTTAGTCCCCCTGGAGCTTAATTTCTCCATTTGTAAAGACAGGACGGTGTGGTGGACTGTGGTTCATATCCCTCCAAGGTTCCCGTGTGGGGACCTTGCCCCCAGAGTGGAGTGTTGGAACACGGTGTGGACGTTTAAGGGGTGAGGCCTAGTGGACATCCGTAGGTCACTGGGGGCATGGCGGAGAGGAATTGTGAAACCCGTCTTCCTCTGCTGCCTGGCGCCAGATGTGACTGCTCGCTCTGACACTTGCTCCCATTATTACCATCCTCCATCCGCCATCCGCCATGACATCTTCACCAGAATGTCGATGCAGGCACCGTGTCCTTGGACCTCCCAAACCGTGAGCCCAGTAAACTTCCTTTTTTCAAAACAGCCTATGTCAGGTATTTTGTAAAAATGATGAAAAGCGAACCAACAGGGATGTGTCACAGGATTACTATAGGATTAAGTACTTGAATACGCACCATGCAGGACAAAGTAAATGTTCAAGAAACCTACACTATTTTGAGGATGATAATGATACCCTCTCACCTGAGTTAAAACACCATAACCAACAGCCTGGATCCATTCATTGGTAAAAAGAGGAAAGACAGACTTCATCTCCTGTAAAATCACATGGGGACACATTCTGCTGTAGTGATCGAGAGCCCTGATGTGCCCTACATTCATGCTTAGCTAGAAGAAAAGCACCACACACATCGGATTAGCAGAGAAGCTCTGGAAATTCTGAAGGACTCAGGCTTAATAGGGGCTCGGGAATCTGGACAACAACAGGGCCCAGTGTAAACACAGTAAAAACAGAACAGAAGGCCTTTTAGAAAAGCCGTAAGGCTAGAAAAAATCCTCCCTTGCTGTAAAACAAACAAAAAAAAAACAACCACCATCTAATTTAAGCGTCTCACTTAGAAGGACCCTGTAAGGTCAGAAGTCACTGCCCCTCCCTGCCAAAGACCACGGAGGCTCTGACCATGGAGGCAACATGTACAGGATCCCTGAGGACAGAGGCAGGGCAGAGGCTGGGGCTGGGGGCGGGGGACAGGGGAGGGTCATGGAATAGTTAGGTGACTCAACAGCCACTGGCCTTTTGATTGATTTTACTATGAATACATAAATCAAGCAAGACGTGAACTTTAAACCGATTGCAACACGTCGTGTTATCAGTGTGTTCTCTGGTTATTTAATTTCTGATCCGATCTTATCTCCTATTTCCCAAGATGCGTCTGAAAAGTTTCATGCTCACAGATAGAACTTCAATCACCTTTTCTTTTCTCCTGCCAGGGCTCCGTGTTTTCAGAGCGTGTGTGGATGGGGGGAAGTTTTATAGAGCACAAGCTAGCACTTTTGGGGCCTCTCCCTTGCCTATAGCAAATTCCTTCTGGTTTGGAAGAAAAATTCATCTCTATCAAGTTCCCCCCCCCCCTGCTTTGGGGGGTATTTCTTTAATTGCCACAATCACCCAAGGCTCTGGGTTTATTTTTATACATTACTCATCTGTTTATTCAATTTATATATCATTTGATCTTGTGTGTAAGTCTTAAAATTTCAGTTATCAACTTGAGTGTTATCAGGGTTATTTTTCATGCCAAAAGGCTCAGAAATGCCAGTTGACTTATGGACCTGGCTCTAGTTTTTCTTTTTTTTTCCAAAGATACGGTTATTAGTCGGGGTTCTGGTAGGAAGGAGATAGCTGTGTTGAAAAGACTTTTTAAATGAAGCACTTTGGGCAGAATTATGGGGACCAGCCAGGGGTGCAGAGGCACCCTGAGCCCTGAAGGACCACAAGAGGCTGGGGACAGCATTGTCAGAGTCTGATAAGAAATGAGCTGTGTGAGAGGGACCACCAACAGAAGGTACCATAAGGGAACACAGCCACCAGCAACCTGTGGCGAGGCTGGAGGGAGCTGGCAGGATACATGCCCTTGGGTCTCTCCTCCCACCTCTTGATTTCCTGATGCTGCCTCCAATTGGCCAATCTGGATGATCCAATCCAGAAAGATCAAGTTTCCTGTCCCAGAGAAGGGCTGAGAGTAGATTTGGAGTGAGGTGGGGATAAGATACACACAACATCACTGACATCAGCCTCTTCTGTACTGTTGGCTATTGGAATTCTCATTAGGTTTTCAATAGACAAGCGATTCTCCATAAATTTTCAATAGCTATGGCACAGGTGAAAGTGTACCAAATATATATTTATTATCTTGAAGAATTTCTCTTTGTTCCTGTTGATCAGCCTGATTCTCTGTATAGGGTGGATGGCTATTGTGCTAGTCAGTTTTCTGTGACTGTGTCAAGATACCTGAGAAATCCACTTAAGAGTAAAAAGGTTTATTTTGGCTTATGGTTTCAGAGCTTTCAACCCATGGTGGACTTAGCCCTGTTGCTTTGGGCCTGTGGTGGCACAGTGCATCATAGCAGGGAGAATGCAGGGGGCATAGCTGCTTACCTCATGGAAATCAGGAAGCAAAGAAGGAGAGAAAGGGAGTTGAGTTCCAACATCCTCTTCAAGGGCACACCTCCTATGACCTGACTTCCTCTCATTAGGCTCCACCCACTAAAGGTTCCACCACCTCCCAGGGGCACCATGGGCTGGCAAGCAAGGCTGGCAACATAAGCCTTTGGGGGGCACTTAGGAACCAAACCATAACACCTATCTTAGATGCTTTAATGCCCCTGTCATGGTAGAAATGATAACTCTCAGCCCCTATTCCAGATCTCCTGAGCCAGGAACTCGGAGAATGAGGCTCATCAATCACTAATGAGTCTGAAACGTGCCCAGGTCTGAAAAGCACTGGGCTGGATGTTGTGGAGAACATCTCCGATGCTTCTCCCAAGCCACACCTTTTTGTTCCAGGTGTCACTGTGGCAACTGGCAGCACACAGGTGTAGCCTGGCCCCACCTCCCCTCAGCTGCACCAGTGTTGCTTCTCTGCCTCGGGCTCCTCCACTGCCGCATGTGGGATGACTGGGAGGGCCTGCTCCACCGTCCAGGCATGTGCAAACCTGGAAACGCTGAGCAGCTAATGAGCAGCCCTGGGGCAGCCCTGGACCAGTCCACGTTGGGAGCCAGTGGAGCAATTCTTCCCCTGCGGTCTTGGGGCGAAGGTGAATTCTACGTGGTTCTTCAGAGGGGCTCAGTGGGACTGAGACCCATTTCTCCAAAACACCAACGAGCAGTTACCTATGGGCAGCGTTCCCTTTTCTGATTCTCTTCATTTTTTTGCTTCCCTATGTCATTTCCCAAAATAAACTGTGCACTGCATAAAAATGTTTTTTGGTTGATGATGGATTTCATACACAAGGGTGGCCTCATAAGATTATGATGCCCCTGAAAAATTCCTATTGCCTACTGATGATGTCATAGTTCAGTGCATTACCTGTGTGTTTAGGGTGATGCTGATATAAATAACTACCACGCTGCCAGCCATGGGAAAGTACAGCAGCACATACAATGATGGATGGTACATGATACTTGATAATGATAATACGTAGCAATGTTACTGGTTTATGCATTTACTATACTATACTTTTTGTCATTATTTTAGAGTGTATTCCTACTTTTTTTTTTTTTTAATGTTCCTGTGAAACACTCTGCTGTGTGGTGCCAGGAGCAGCCTCATCCATCTCTTACTTATCACACCCCTTCATTGCACCAAAAGTCCTTGGTGGGGGACTGGCCTATTCCATCCAGGTTTATGTGAGTAGGTTCTGTGGTATTTGCACATTGGTAAAGTTACCCAGTGATGACTCATCTCTCAGAGTGTCCTTATCCTTCAGTGACACAGGACTGTCCCTGCATGCAAAACCCTTGTCTTAGGCTCTGTTTCTTGGGGACCATGTAAGGGAGGGTGAGTATTCTCTCTTCATCCTCTGTACCACTTATTTGACCATCTTAGTGCAGCCATAGTCTGTCTGGCAATGTGTTTCTGTAGCTCTCTATCTCCCCAGCTAGACTGGTGTTCTTGGATCAGGGACTGGGTCTATTCATTCAAGGAACACTCCTGCTCCCCTATTCTGATGGGCTTTTAGGTATTGAAGAGCAAAACAATGTCTTGTCAGAGTCATGCCCAAAAGCTTTTAAAGTCCCATGATAATATTAACTCATCTGACTTGGTATGTATTCTTTATTGTAGTGGTCTTAAAATTTGTAAGGCTTTCTCTTTTAGCTATTTTTGATCCAGTTATTGCTTAAAAATGAGGCCCGATCAGTTGTGACCATTCAGCAGTCAGGGCCTGCTTCATGGGCACTAGGCGTGGTGACATTATGCAGGGCCTAGTGCCTGGAAGGGCCCTGGCCTTGGTGAAATGCTCCGTTGTTGCCATCTTGAAGTTCCTGACTTTATCTTTGAATTTGGCGCTTTACAAGTGAAGCGCTGTGCGCATGAGCAGAAGAGCTCTAGGCAACAAGCGCGTGTGCCATCCGATTGGCCCATCCCCAAGCTGTGTCCCTGAGGCCCAGAAGCACCGAGTTCCAGGGAACCGTGGTGTGCAGGGTCCAGTGAGACCTAAAGGTGATGAGCATGTGGTGCCCCTGAGGGAGTGGGCAGCAGGGAGGGAGTAAGGGAGCTGATGGGGAAGGAGGCCCTGGCTTCCATTAGAGCCAGTACTTGGTTCACATCAGAAAGAAGGTAATGACCTTCAGTAACAAGGACGACCAAGGGACGCCATCATAGCCTTTCTCACCCACGTTGTTCCCCTGTTTTAGCCAGTACTTATGCTGAAGGTGACGACATAGGGAAAAATAAATAAAGGCAATGTAGGAACCCGGAGTCCCTTCTCCTTTCCGTCCTTCCTCACCCAGAGGCAAGCTGAAGGCCGGCTGCTGTGGAATGTGCACATAGCAGAAGTGAAATGAAAACATCGGCTGATGTTATGCAGTGGTTCTATAGTTTGGGTAAGAATAAAATACATACTTTTATATTTTGGATTTTTTGGGGGGGAACAGAGGATTGAACTCAGGGGCACTCAATCACTGGGCCACGTCTCCAGCCCTCTTTTTCATTTTGTTTAGAGACAGGGTCTCACTGAGTTGCTTAGCACCTCACTTTTGCTGAGGCTGGCTTTGAACTCCTGATCCTCCTGACTCAGCCTCCCAAGCCCCTGAGATTATAGGCATGTGCCACTATGCCTGGCTTATATTTGTAGCATATTTGAGCTAAAAAATACAGACTGTATAATAGTGGTGATTCTGCGTGTCAGTTGAATGTTTTTACAGTTGCATTTTTTTAATTACAGATGCATTTAAAATTGTCATTACACATTAAAAAGATGACTGGGAAGATTTAAGTGCATTCACACACCAAAAGAAATATTAATTCAAAAAGAGGTGAAAAAATAAAATAAGGCATTTGAAAATTTTTCTGAAACGAGGCAGACTGTGTGTGCAAGCACATGTGTGTGCACACAATCAAATACAGGTGACGTAAAATGCTTGAATGAATAAGAAATATTTGTAAGGGGAGCTGCTTGTCTTTCCATTTAGCTCGTGCCAGCCTTTGGGAATGTGGAGAACAAAGCCATTGTTCCTGCCCAAGGGCTTTACAGATTATCAGGGGATTCGGATGAGCTACTGGACCGCTGGAGAAGAGGACAGTGAGCACACAGGAGTTGGGGACAGACAACATCCAGTGTGAGCCAGATGGTGTCCCCTGTAGCCCTTACCTCCATTACCATGGTCCTCGGCACAAAGCAGACCTCAATAATCAGAGCTGATTCAGGGTAAGTTTTTGGAGAAGATGACTTCTCCATCACAAGTTCAGTACCTGGGTTTGCAGGCTCCTTGGGTATCCATTAACCTGCAGACGTCAGGATGCAGCTGGGAATGACCACATTCAGTGACCAGGAGAGACCGGGGTGAAGCATCTCTCAGGATGGCTGCATTCGTTCCAACACTGACGGAGGAAAGAAACGTCGAAGCCCATTTCTGCCATCTGTGTTACCCTTAGTCCCCAGGACAGTGTTTAATTTGGCATTAGAAATTTCACAGCTGAAAACTAGAAAGATCTTCATACATTTCTTGTGTAGAAAGACTGTTTCACCCTCTTTATATTTTAAAAATTGATCCGTGTATCTTATTTTTTCTTTCTATGCATTTCATATTTCTTTGCCATATTTCTTCACCCCTGAAAGAAAGTGTTGTTCATCAAGCCCCTTTTTGGATGTCCCCAGGATTCCCATATGTGGCATTAACTGTCACCCGCAGAGCCACCAAAGGACTTCATTTGCCCTGCCTCATGGCTCTTCTACTTGGCGTCACCACTATTGGGTATTAATTAGACAAGGAGTTTCCTGAGAGTGCCTTGTGCCTGAGTCTCCTCTGGGACTGCCCCAGGACCCATCACAGGGCCGGTTATATATGAAGAGAACCTGCAGTAAACGGGGTTCATTGAATGAATCAGCTAATGCCATCTGCTATGGTGTAGATGTGTCCCTCAAGAGTTCCTGTGTTGGAAGCTTAGTCCCCAGTGTGGTGCCGTGGAGAGGTGGTACCCAGCTTTTGGAGGCGGGATCTAGTGCACGGTAATTGGGTCAGTTCCCTCCGGAGGATTTAACGCAGTTCTCCCGTGAACATGGCTAGTTCTTGCGACAGCATTCATTGTTATGAAGGATAAGCCTTCCTGTTCTCTGGCTTCCTGTCTCACTATGCAATTTCCCCGCCTCACACTCCTACTATGATGCCATCTGCCATGATGTCACAAAGCCAGGGAGCCCTCACTAGAGCCAATGCCATACTATTTCGACTTTCAGCCTCCCAAACTGTGAACTAAATACAACTCTTTGCTTTATAAACTACCCAGCCTCAGCCATTTGTTGTAGCAATGGAAAATGAAATAGATGCCATCTAGTTGCTCCAAAACTTAAAAAATTATGCTCTTCAGTGATTCACTTCTTTGCCATCAATCTTTTCCCTGGTACCATTTTGTGTGTGTATGTGTGTGTGTGTGTGTGTGTGTGTGTGTGCTGGGGATTGAACCCAGGGACACTTTACCACTGAGCCATATCCCAAGCCCTTTTTACTTTTTGATTTTGAGACAGATTTTTGCTTAAGTTGCTTATGGCCTCTCTAATTTGTCTAGGCTGGCCTCAAACTTGCACTCCTCCTATCTTGGCTTCTTGAGTTGCTGGGATTACAAGCTTGCACCATTGTGCCCAGCTCCTGCTAACTTTTAACACACACACACACATACACACACACACACTTAAGATTCTGTTCATAAATAAATAAATAAACAAAAGAAAAAAATAGCAGATGGCTGCTTAGTCCTGGCTGCTGGGACATTTAGCACGGTGGAACCTTTGGTTGTGTCTGAATTCAGAGCATACCTGTAGACCTAGTGAGAGCCTGGGCTTCTGAGTGGGCTTGGGAAACCCTTATTTATTATAAAGCTAAAATTAAACTACAAGTTTTTACATGTTGCGCAGCAGCAGCTGATGCAAGTCTTAGTGAGCACAGTGCTTCTCACACCTCGGGTTTCAACTACAGTAAAGGGATTACCACGCGTCATGCCTGGATTGGGCTTTGGCCATGGAAATGAATGAAATTGGGGAAATTAAAAGTCATGTTCTTTCACTTTCTTTGAGTTAAAAAATCTCTTTAAGATCTTTCAGAATTCCTGGCACCCCTCTCTCTCTCTCTCTCTCTCTCTCTCTCTCTCATTTGGCATCAGTGTCCTGGTGCCTGCCAGGATGTCTGGATCCAAATGGAAAATGCTGAGACAGTGAGGCGATCGCCTTTCCTGGAGCACTTGGGAAGTGCTGGGGTCCGAAGTGCTCATCTCCCAAGTTCCTGTTTGAGGTGCTGAATCCGACAGTCAGCTCTGCGGCCTGCTGCCCCACTGCTGGCAGATGGTTTGTCTTTTCCCTGTGTCCCTCCTAACCCATCATTGACAGAACATCCTGATCATGGTGAGAGATCCAGGATCCACACACGGCAGAGTCTGCTCTCCATGCCAGGTTCCTCCTGGTACAATACAGCTCTGTTCCTAACAACCCCCCCCAACCCCCGTGCACAAGGTTTCATACAATGTGTAGAATTTCCAAAAAACAAAACCACAATGCTCTCACTACATCCAATTATGGAAACAACTATGGGCATCAAAAATAAAATGGCAGCCAGAGCATAGGGTGTATTAGTCAGCTCTGCATTACTGCATTGAAAAGCCTGATGCAGGACGCTTACAAAGAAGACAAGGTTTGTTTGGCTAACACATGGAGGTTCAAAGTCTAAACAGCATAGTGCAGACTCTGGTGAGGGTTAGGGGCCAGTGGATGGCAATGGTGGGAGCGTGTGTCAGAGTTAGGGGGGAGGGTGGGTGTCCTGCTGTCCCTTCAAGGGCACAACCCCCCAATGACCTAAATTCCTCTCACTAGGCCCCACCTCCTAAACCCCTTCAAGGGCACACCCCCAATGACCTAACTTCCTCTCACTAGGCCCCACCTACTAAAGGTTCTATTACCTATAAACAATTCCAGGCTATGGACCAAATGTTAGATCACAAGGGACCTTTGGAGGACACTCAAACCACACCCAACTAAAAAAGTGTCATTCCCTGACATTGAAGCTGAGGATTGAATTAGCATTAAGCACAAAAGCCACCCAATGTGACATGGTGTATGATTCTGTTAGGATTTGTGTGGTTTTAGTGATTCTGATTTTTTAGATATTTACATCTTATATAAAGTATTTTCTCAATATTTTTATTTTTTTATGGAGGACTATTTCTAAGACTAGTATTGGGTTTATAGAAACATTAAAAGGAAGGTCCAGAGAGCTCCCATATGCCTCCTCACCCCTTCATGCACGGCCTCCCCAGGATCAACCTCCCCATCTGGAGAGATGCATTTGTCACAGTCAGTGACCCCACAATGACCCATCATCATCGCCCAGTGTGCCTTGTTGACATCGGGGCTCACTCTCGGTGTTGTGAAGTATTTATTTATTATTTAATGTGTGTGGTCATCAGCCTTGAGCCAGAAGTAGATGTTGAAATCTTTTACATGCGAGGAAGCCGAAGCATACCACAGTGAGGTGATCCTATGCACAGATGCCCAGCCAGTAAGCGGAGAGCCAGGAGAGGACAGCCCAAGCACGCCCCGTACCGTCTTAGGGCTGATGAAGTGGGGGTGTTTCCTTAGATGACTTTGGGAAGAAGACAAAAAAACCAATAAGGTGTAAACTCACTATGGTGGGAAAACCTGCTACAAACTGCAAACAGGTGGAGGATGAGCCTTCTCAGGTCTTGAGAAGGGAGTGCTAGGATTTGCATGTGGTTGAGTGTGTCCCCCAGAGGTTCACACGCTGGGAATGTGATAGAACCGGTAAAAGGTAGGGAGGTAGGGCCTGGTGCATAATAATTAGATACCCAGGAGCACCACCCTCAGTAGGGATTAATGCAGTTCTTGAGAGGCCTCCATTAAGAATGAGTTGTGCTAAAAAGTGCAAGTCTGAATCCCTCTGGCTTCCTGTCGTGCCATGTAATCTCTTCCTTTTGGATATGCTTCCCCCAAGGTGCCATCCACCATGTCATGTTGTAGGTAGAAGGTCTCCACCAGAGTGAAGCAAATGGCACCATGCTCATGAACCTTCATGACTGTGCGCTATCTGAGCCTCTTTTCTTTATGAAGTACCTGGCCTTGGGTATTTTGTTATAGCAACAGAAAACTGATGGATTCACAAAGAATAAAGCTAATGATTATTGAATTTTTCCAGCACTGTCAAAAGAGAAACACAGGTGTTTAATAAACAATAATATTCTGGTCTTGTACACGAAAGAAGTATATTCTTCACTGGAGAAGAGATATTGCATCAGCCTGTATTGCAACTATTTAATGCAACATATCAGATTAAGCAAGCCCCATAGTCATTCAAATCCTTTCTCTTTGGCTTTTAATAACCAAACATCTGGTTATTAACTAGTTAGTACCTAGAAGCTGGAGAAGAGTAGAGTGTTGTTAATATTGGACTATAAAATGATAGTTGTGGGAAAAGTTTGAATTTTGATCTAAAATTAGGGTCTTGACTTCCAGCTTGTGACTTGGGCTTCTGGTGAACTTGACTAACAGGAATCAATTCCCCAGCACCAATTCAAACCTGGGTGAGCTAGTCTTGATTGAGTTTCTGCAGGACTAAGCAGGAGATACAGCATCCATGATTATCATCTCAAGTGCAGCCATCTGAGTGTCCCATCCGGATCTGCTCACTTTCCCCAAAACTTGATGTGAAAATAAATCTGATTAAATGGTCCACCAAAGCAATATCTCTACTGGTAACATTGTGTTTTTTTTTTGTTGTTGTTTGTTTGTTTGTTTTTGTTTTTTTAATTTGGTACTAGAGATTGAACCTAGGAGTGTTCTACTACTGACCTACATCCCCAGCCCTTTTTATTTTTTATTTTGAAACAAGGTCTTTCTAACTTGCTTAGGGCCAAGCTATTTGCTGAGGCTGGCTTTGTAATCCTCCTGCCTCGGCCTCCTGAGTTGCTGGGATTACAGGCGTGTACCTCCATGCCCAGCAACCACCTGTAGCGTCTTTGAAGAGAACTTTGCATGATCTTGCCTCACCTCTTCCCTATGTAGAAGTCCCATGAGTGGTCAGTTAAGTCATTAGTGAGTTTATGACCTCCACATTGATTTTCTTTGGGAGATCTCTATTTGTTAGAATTTCTTTTTGTTACTATATTGAGCTGAATTTTGTTACTATATTGTCTGCCTGTCAGTTCATTCTCTAGAGCTACACAAAATAAATCTACTTCATCCACATGGGAACCCTTGGAATATTAGACTTGCAGCAATTAAACATAACATGTAAACCTTCCTTCTCCTTAACCATTTAAGGACTGTTGGCTTTAAGAGAAGAACTCAGTTGGGTGATTTTTATGTTGTAAGCTGAGGAGGACGTCTGTCTGGAACAAGAGTTGAGTGCTTTAATCTTTCATTACATGGCAATTGCCAAGAACGTGAAGGTTCTGAGATTTTACTTGTAACGTTAACAGGTTAGCCTGCCATAGTCTCATCACTTTCTAGTGGGGGCTCCCTAGACCCTAATTTCCTCAGAATGGGCAAATGGGGACAGACAACACCTCCATGCACAGAGGGTGTGTTCCAGGAGAGAAGCCCCGAGGTTAGGAAGCCCCCATCTTTTATTATGGGTCATCAGCAAGTCTGCCAACTGCTGCCTGGGAGAAGATGTTTTTCTTGCTATACTGGGGAGCAAACAAATCAGTTCTTTGCTCTGGAGAGAGATGCTCTATCTTCCAAGGCTGTTCTCTAGGCATGTATCCTTGAAAAGATAGTCTGTAGCAAAGGCAGCGCCTCTGCTTGCAAGATGTGCAGAGACGCAAGAGGCCCAGGAACTGTCTCCCAACAGCAACCACCTTTGACTTCACTTCAGCTCTGCCTCGAACCTGCAAATCACTTACCCGTGCATTTACTTTTCTCAGCCTCTTACCAGACCCAAACTGGATGCCAAAACAGGCTAGAATGAAGAAAGGGCAGGTGGGAGCAGCATCATTCCTTATTTCCCAATTAAGTCTTATTTGCAACTTCCTCTATTAAGTTCTTTTCATTCACATCCAAGAGACGGTTTCCCCTTCAGATAATGCAGATTTTTGGCAATGCATGAATTCAGTTAAAAATTTATTATAGATTATATAAAACTGGAAGGGCCATGTGATAAAGGATAAAGTTATTAGAAGTCAAGTGGGAAGGTGGGCATGTTGACATGGTCCCGCAGGCACAGCTACGTGGGAGGCCGAGTCAGGAGCATTGCTAGAACCATTTGAGGAGTAAAAAGAAAAAGAAAGAAAAAAAAAGGCAAGTGAGAGACTCAGATAAACCATTTGCAATTTTCTTAATAGACCAAAGATTAATATCCAGACCATGGGGCTGTGGATGTAGCTCTATGGTAGGGCACTTGCCTAGCCTCTGAGAGGCCATGGGTATGATCCCTAGCACCACAAAACAAAAGCAAAAATGAAAGCAAACAAACAAACAAACAAACAAAAACCAACAGAGAAAGAGAATATGAAAAAGTAATTCCCAGAAAAGTCAATAAAGTGACTGTTCATCTTATGAAGAGACGTTTAACCTCAGACACTAATCGGGTAAATGCAAATTGTAGATAATGAAATGACTTTAACATATTGTAAAAATATGAGAGTGATGATAGCCAGAGTTGGTAAGGAGTTTCTCAGAGGCTGGAGGCATAGATGAGTTTATAACACATGGTGTGTACAAAGCCCCTGGGTTTACACACATGCACACACACACTACATTCCAACACCAAAAAAGAAAAAAAAAAAAAAAGAAGATCCCAAACCAACCAAAAAACATTTTCAGCAAGGCTAAGGGTGATATAAATTGATACAATCCTTTAGAGGCCAACTGCTAAGTTGAATCTCTTGAGAGGACTAATTTAATACTGTTGGAAATATTAAACTATTGGAAATAAGATAATTGGCCATTAATCAGAGAAAAGCTAAATGATTAGGATATTCACTATATCCATGTTATGAAATGTAGTCATACAGCTCTAAAAAGAATGAAGCAGTTTCTAATTTTGATTTTTTGAAGGATTACTAAGAAAAATTATTTGTCTAAAGAAGTTGCAGAAAAATACTTAGATATGAGACTATATTTTTCTTTAAAAAACTCCAAACGATATATTCCTACATATGAACATACATGTATATACATGCATTCAAGAAAAAAGAGAATAATACACACCTAGTGTTCAATATTCTTTAGCTCTGGGGAGAGTGGTATAAGGGACAGAGAAGGTGGTGGGTATAAAGGTTGATTGGCTTTAATTTCATTCTTCTTCAGTATTATTTTAATTAAATGTGTTGCTATTTTGCTTGAACGATTAAGAGCGTAATAAAAATCGCACTGTGGTCAATCAGTTTGGTTATTCTGTGGTACTCACGTGGTAAAGAGCCAGTTATGGATCGAAACCATGACTGGGCTGAAAAACACAAACAGAACTTTAGAATAACTGGGTGGGAGAAAAAAGTCGGATTTTCATGAAAATCCTCTGCGAATCCAGCACACGCTGCCTGGTTTTCCATGTCTACTGCAGCGTATCACAGTGAAAGCAGTAAATGAATCACGTACTGAGGCTGGGCTGTGGAAGGGGCTCAGTGGCAGAGCACTTGCTTTGTGTGAGGAACCGGGTTCAATTGATCCTCAGCACCACATTAAAAAAAAATAAAGATATTTTAAAAATGTACTGAAATCAAGGAAGAGATCAAGATAATTAAACCATAAGAAGGGAGATGGGGGTGTAGCTCAGTGATAGAGCCCTTGCCCACCATGTACAAGACCCTAGATTCAATCTTCATTCCCTCCCAAAAAGAAAAGAAAAAAGACACTTAGAGGAAAATTTAGGAATTCCAGGAATTGAGAGTCTAGCACACACATATATATATAATGAAGCTTTTTTTTGTTTTTAATTTGATATTGGTGACTTGGGCATTGTGGTATCACAAAACAGTGGTTCACAGAGTGTGGTCCCCAAACCAGCAACAGCATCATCACCAGGGAACTTGTTAGACATGCGAATTCTGGGTCCCTGACCCAGATCCACTGCATCTGAACCTCTGGGGCTGGGGCTCACCAAGGTTTTGCCGAGCCTTCTAGGGGATCCTAAGGTGCACTCAAGATTGACAACGGCTGCCTTAGACCAGGGCTTCTCCAAAGTGAACCCCGACATCACCCGGGGAGCTCTGAGGCAGCACATTCTGATGTAGGAGGAATGGGGGTGGCCCTCAGATTCTGCACTGTTTTAGCAGTTCCCAGGTGAGGTCGATGCTGCTGTTTCTCAGAGCACATTCTTGAGTCACTTTTGGAGGAAGATGGAGTGAGCATTCAATGACTGGAAGGCTTCATGAGGAAATGATTAAGGAGAAATACAAAGAGCCACATCAGTGTATGTCCATCAGTAACTTAAAGGCTATGAGCAAGAAGAAGGCGGCTTTCTTGGAATGGCTTCAGGATGCCGTCATAACAGTGTCTTTGCACGTCTCCAACATGCTTCCTGAAAGCTCCAACTGTTAGCAGCTACTCCTGACTTCTTGTTCTCCATTCCTTTTCCCAGATGGAGAAGCCCAGGCTGGCCCACAGAGCTATTTGCATCTCAAGGTCACAGGGACCTCGGGCTGGCACAGGCCTCTTGGCTGACTGGCCATGGCTCTTTCCACAGGCTTTTTCAAGCTGTCTTTGTCCCCACAGTGGGAAGTAGTGACAGAGCTCCTGAGATTAACACGGCTGGGTCTCCCTTGTGAAAACCCGACCAGCTCCATCTCCAGGCTGGCCGGTGAATAATAGGAATCTTTATCATCCTTTCCGTCAGAAAGCATTTATTTAAAACCCTTGGCTAACGCCCGGGGTGAGCTGGCCTGTCACACACCATCACATGGCATGGAAACTGGCGATTAAATTTAGCAACCCACCTTGGCAAATTCAGACCGGGATGTTTACCGGCCAGCCCAACCCAGAAGGAGCCCAGGGGTCTCCAGAAAAAGGGAAATAAGGCCCAAGTGAGTTATGACAGATTACGAGCACCTGTCCCCATCAGTAACTTGGTGTCCTCCAAACGCTATGGCAGGACTCAGAGGGCCAAGAATGCTCCCTCTGTACACTGGCCTCCTCTCCGAACTAGCAGCAAGTCTGGAATGGGAGGCTTTGGCTCCAAGGACAAGTTGTTTGTTTACTGACTCTGGGGACCAGACCAGGAGAGACAGCATTAACTGAAGAATAAATGCCATTTGCTCCACACACCCGCTGCAATTGCAGTCTGTGGTGTAACTGTAACAACTTAGCTGAGCAACTGTAGTGGCCCTCCTTGATAGAGAGGTGGGCACAGAGAGGAGGGTTTTACTGGTTTACAAGGTGCAATCAAATGATGGCCCAGATTCATAGGTGAGGTTGCGCCTGCGGCCCAGGAGGCTTTTCAGATATAAAGATCTTCTTTCTGGAACATCCTTTGGGTTGAAAATTAGCAAAAAAGAAAAAAGAAAAAAAAAAAAAGAAAATTCGTGTGCCTTTCCGGGCCCTACTAGTGTGTGCTGGGATGTCTGAACAAGAGAGATGATGTTTATCATTTTAGCCATGGACTGGGCCAGGGTCCTCTGTGTCAGTGCAGCTGGGAGTGTGATCATGGGGGGCGGGGCGGGGGAGGCTTGCACAAGCCAGGCTCTTTAGTCACATCTTTCCCAACCCTGGATGTGCCTGGTAAATGACATCTGCCCAGTTGCTGT